GTGTATGAGGCAAATGAGGGAATGAGCTGTACCTCATAAAGACACGTTACAGCAAGGAGGCTTCCTACACCCTGAAGGGCTCTGGAAGATGCTGCACATTTGAAATGGTCATGCTCAGCTCAGTAATTATTTTACAGGCGGACAGAGGAACTGAGATACTAATAGAGCCCAGCATCCTGAAACACCAGCAAAGGATTGATGTTGTTGGCATCAACACCTGAACTTCTAGTCAGCAGAGATGAGGCACTTGTGGGGTGTGATTCATCTCATCCTGAAGCCAACATCTCAGGTATGTCAGTTGAATCACACCCTAAATGCATCAATTCCTCTCCACTGCCTGTAATGGGAGCTGGTGGTAACAACCCCACATCAGACATCCATGACGAGCACCTAACCTTTGGGCAAGGCAAGTCCTGCCCAAAGTGTCCATAAACTGCCTTGGGCTGAGTAACCAAAGGGCTGGCCAGGACAGGCCTCCCCTCCCCTGGGGCTACAGCGGGCCACCAAGGGCAGGGGGCAAGACACTGACTGCCAGGGCAACCACAGCCAGCCGTCTGACACCAGCCTCATCTGTCAACAATTCTGTCAGAAAATGTCACTCTGACAAAGATGATTTTTTCTATGAAATCAAGCCCGTTTTTTCCAGATTTCTTTTTTCCCAGAAGCGAAAGACAATTTGGCATTTTTACACTATTTTTACTTTTTATAACCCATCGCTGGTGTGGAGACTGTCACAAAGGAACGTGATATAGAAACAAAGCAAAACATGGTCCAAGCTAATTTTTAGGCAAATCACACATTCAGACTTTTCTTTTTCCTACTTAGAATAAAATAAGGAATTTCAGAGTGCTGCAACTTGCCAATTCCATGTTTCAGTCAGCTCTATCAGATATGCCAGGTGGGGTCAGACCTTTTGAGTTCATTTACTACCCAGCACTGAAATAAAGCACGATCAGCAAACACGCACCTTATCTCCTGTGCACAGTTAGAACCCACGCTGCAGCCCACACTGCACCCAAAGAAACCAAGACCCAGTACTGCACATAAGCAGCGCGCAGCACGCTTATTTGTGAGATGATCTTTTCGTAACAACATTTTTCCTTGGAAACTCACACAATCCTAGGGAGGCTGCACAGTAATTACACAGTGCCTTTTGTGTTCACCAGTTTCTTAATACTGGGGTGCCACAGAAGTAACATTACCCTGTCTTCGTTCTCTTTCCCAAAGAGACTTTAAAAGTACAAAACAAGTAATTAATGTCAGATTGTTAATGACCTATCGCTGTGAGTCTGACTGGAATGAGCAAACAGAACATATTTAACATTGCAGGTGCAGATCCAAGGACAAAAACAAAGTGCAAGAAAGCCCCTTACCCCTCCTCCTCTTTTCTATCTCTCTCACTTATACTCTTTTTTCCATTAGAGCAGAACAAAACCCTTTTGACTATACAGATACTCTTCCCAAGTATTTGTTCTGTCTGGTCACTGCCAGACATTTAGGGTAACTGAACAAAGCACGAGCATATTTGTGAGCTGAAACTAAAATACCATCTTTCACCTTTCCTCAGAAAAGCTTTAGATTCACAGATCCCAAATGTACTTGTTTGGACATCAGCATCAACAGGAACTGCAGTGGCATCCCCCAGCTCTGTGTGTGCTGGGCAGCACTCCGCAGCTGCTCAGACAGCTACACAGGCTTTCTAAAGCAAAAAGCTTCTTACTTGTACTGGTATACAAGTACTAGCACCTAGACAGGCTAACCACTGCCTCTGTAGATGGCGAGAAGACCCGAAACAGGGCATCAACATTTAGTGTCTTTACATTCAAGATGCTGTACAAACACCTGGGGGTGGCTGAGGAAAACACAGCTATAGTTTCTGGGTGAGTTGGTGAGGCAAGATTACTGAGTGGCCTGCTCAGAATATGTTTCAGTAGATGCCGGTTCTGGCCTTTGCCTTATGCTTACGTTGCAAGGCCATTTCCTTCTCCAAAAAAAAAAACGCTCTGGAAAGCTCATCACTCCAAAAGGACAATTAAAAATTCAGCCAGTTAACTTAGAGTATACACTATAGTTCCATATGGCAGAGAAGAGATAGACAACCCATGAACAAGCATTGGGAAGTAGATCCTCACCTCTGTTCTGCTGCACAGAGTCCTCTCCCTCAAGGTGTTCTAACAGGCTCACCATGAGAACAAAGGCAGTTTCTACCACCTCCTAGGTATCAACTTCCTTTCCCATGCAAGAGAGACAAGACTGGGATGCTCTAGCTATTCTCCACAAATCTGCAGAAGTAGCCCAACATGGACCACAAGAGCTGCTCTATCTTGGAGCAAGGAAGGCGAGCAAGGAAGGCACAGCTTTAGAATAGCACACAGAATCACAAAATGATTGAGGCTGAAAGGTATCTCTGGAGGTCATCTAGTCCAATGCTGCTACATCATCATCCAGATCGTTAATGAAGATGTTGAACAGGACTGGGCTCAGTATTGACCCCTGAGGTACAATGATAGTTACTGGCCTTCAACTAGGCTTCATATCACTGATCACTACCTTGAACGAGCACACACGAAAAAAAAAGGCCTAAAATGGCATCCTTGTCTCAAGTCTAGCTCTTGCTTCACATCTCTTAAGCAGCACAAAGGCTTTCTCTGACCTCACTGTGACTAGTTGCATGGTATTTCCCCTTCTAAGAGGGGAAGAAAGACTTCAATAAACAGGAAAGCATTACAGAAATAAAAATAAACCCAAAGACTTTGGAATGCATACATTTTTTTTCCAAATTAATTCTCCCTGTTCTTCAGTCTCATGTTACTTGGAAAACTAAAATGAGAAGCAGGAAAGCAACCCTTGCTCTGCTCAGTACAATTTCAGCATTGAAGCTTCTGTGAGAAATGAATACCATTGGGAAGAAAAAAAAGAAGAAAAAACCCAACAGTCTAATGCCATCCTGGCAAGCAGTATTGGTCAAGCTCAACTGTTACCTCCTGTCACAGAGGACAAGAAACAGTACCAGCTGCATACAAAGTAGATCACACTGTCATTGGCATCAGGTTTTCTAAGAAAAGTCACCCAAGTTTGTGCCTCCAGAAGATCAACCCTAATCTCAAAAGTAGACATGAGTGAAGTAAAGGACAAATTCATCACGCCTAAAGGTAAAAACACTGTGTGCATCTGGCTAGAGGCTTCTACTGTCCTCTTCATTACACTTGTCAGAGTATGAGAACTGATTACACACTCTGATGGAAAGCTACGTTGTCAAAGTTGGGAATGACTTTGTGTTCTTCTGAATTATTTGCTTATGGCTGTGAACTGCTTTATAAAAATACAAGATATGTGAAGCATAAAACCTCAGAGCAAACCAATAGCAGACCCCAAATATAAGTAATATTAACAATTTGAAATGTCTAGTACATTAGTCACAATTAGAAGCAAATTATGTATTTGTTTTCCCGTTACAATGCTAATAAAAGTGACAGATAGACATAAGCATTATTGGTTGAGTAAGCAAAATAGCTGTTCATTTTGAATATGAAATCACTAGTGTGTAATGAAGGTTTTAGAGAAGTCAAAACAAAATCCACAGTAACTTGAGCACAGCCATGCAGAGATCAGAGACAATATCAATCAATAAAGGAAAACTCTCCATTCCCTCTGGGTAAAACTTGCTGTTAAGATTTCACCAGAACTTCTCTGAAACACAGCTGAGGAAGAGGGTATCAAGTTCTCTGCAGAACAAAGGTTTGCTTAGACACCTCTGCATCAACTACACATCTGTGTAGGTGAGTATTCCCTGGAAGTAGCTTGTGAGCGTCCTGCCCTACATTGCCGAAGTCATTCAAAGCTCTTAAGACACGTATGTAGCTGGGCTTTGTGGTTCCAGTATAGTTAACAGAAAAGGTAACCTGGCAGCCAACTATACACACATGGTTTCCTCTTATTTTTGGCACTATGTAGAGGGCAAACCAACTGATTCTGGAAGCACACGTTAGTTCCCCATGGAACAGAAATTAATCCATTTGCTTTGACCAGAAGTGGGTATGTGCTGATAATGAGGCCGCTCAATTCATTCCACTGGTAGCAGTTAGAAACACCCAAGCATTTTTTTTAGTGTAACAAGACCACTCCACCAATGGTGCCTTGCTGTTTGCTGCCTCAGACAGACACCTTGCTGGGCAGACTATGGCTCTTCTCTTTCCTACTCATTCCTCCAAGAAAAAATACAAATAATTGGTTTATTCATATAAATGAACTAGCCAGTTCTCTGAGATTGGAAAAACTGCCCCTTGCTACTGTGAGATTTCCTGTCCCCATGTATCTTAATAAGGCACAAATTGCTCTGAAAACATGCAGAGAGCTATAATAATGAAAAATAATCCTATATTATTATTTCCAGCAAAGAAGATCTTATGTATTCAGTTAATAAAATCTCATTTTCTATAATGTTTTTGCAAGAGTTATAGCTAACTTAAAAAAAAAAAAAAATTGGATAGCTAAAGCTCAAATTTTGTATTGCAATTACTGTGCATAAATACCAGGCCCTCAGAAGTAACAGGTATTAAAGAGAAACTTCAATTAAGAAACTCGACACCTTGCTGAAATGCTTCTCAACACAGCAACCTAGACAAGTACATATACAGACTGACCCAGGAAACGAAGCATTTATTCACAGAATATATTCCTGTATTGACTGATCTATTACTGGCATTCCTAATTAACTAAAGGGCTGATTTAAACATCACTACAGCTGGAGTCACCTCACACTACTGCTTGTTATTTGAGAGCCATCAACAGTAAAAAGCTTGATTATGCTGCACAGAACGCTTCTTTTTTGTCTTTTTACAGTAAGACATGACTTTCATTTTGGACAGCAGTGTCACACAGAGGGGCTGCTGTCTGAATCACACAGTGACAGGAAATGAGGGAAAAAGGGAGATAGAATATACTCACATAACCATGTTTTAGCACAGAGAAGACAATGTAAGTAGAATAGTACAAATTACCTTTGGGCGCTTCCATTCAACTTTCCTTGGTGGTGCTGATTGATAGAAAAGGGACTCATCTGAGGCTGGAAACTCAGGGTCTTCAAAGAGCTGTCTCTGCTGGATACACTGCCTTTTCAGCTCATAGTATTTCTGATCTCTGAAGAGTTGAGCTGATGAAGACATATCTTTCTTCCTAAATAAGATGAATATTGGCTTGTGCAAATTATGAAGGGTCTTTAAAGTCTACAGATGATACCACTCATTGGTCTTTAACAACAGAGCATGTAACTTGTTCTAAACATGATTAATTACTGATTTCTGTTTAAAAAAAAAACCCAACAGACTGTCAATTAGATTATGCTAAGTAGTAGACTAGAAAACCATAAAAAAACAAGATGATCTTATATATTAGGATGGTATTTTTGGCTGAACAGAAGAGTCCAGACCAGGTACAAAACCAGCATTTTGCTTTGTCTAATTGATTGGAAGGGTAACAGAGTGGGGCTTGGCTCTCAGTTTGTACCATGTGTGAAGGGCTGGACCATCTTTCTATCCTACATTCTTCTGGCTGCTAAAGCTCTAATTATCTACTCCAACTCTTATGGAAAGACCATAAAACCAAAACCAGATTTCCACAGTTCTCCATCTTAATTTAAGTGACAATACTTTGGCTGGTATTATTGTCTTTGAACTCTATATTTCAGGGAACTGAATTCCCAAAAGCAGAAAATATTTGCAGATAATAGATGAGTATTTAAAAAACGAAAAACAAAACTCAGAACAACAACAAAAAAACCCAAACCACTTGCTCTCAGGCCTTTGTTCCCAGAATCACGACTATTTAACATGGCACATTTACAGTCACAGTGCTCAAATAAATTGCTTAAAAACAATCTACAAATCAGAAATCAACTACAGAAATAATTCAGGATAGTGTGAAGTCTGGGGGACATGAGAGCTGCTACCTGTATTTCAAGAGAGGGAGCAGAGAGAGCATCTGAACTTACTCTGTTTGGAACACTCCTGTGTGTCAGTTCCTCTCCTCTTCCTTCCAACCACCGGTTAGAGATGTATCTCCCCTTCCTTGAGTTATCTACAGCAATAAAGACAAATGCAGATTGTTCTGATGTCAGATCATAAGATTTAAATAATATGCATGCAATGGAACACGGCATCACATTGTCCTAGCAGCCTACTTGCTGTGACCTGTTGCAGTGATCCCAGCTTGTGCTCCTTGAGCCTTTCCAGGCATGCAAGTGAGCACAACAGGAGAAATACAGAAGACTAATGAGGAACACTTGGAAATATCAAATTTATCATGGTCTTTGTTCTTGTGACAGCTACTGTGGCCAAAACAGTCTAGGGATGGTTTTAACATCCTTCCTCCCTCTCTTTCTTTCTCTCCCCATCCCCTCACTACTCTCCCCCTTGCCCCAAAATAAATTAGATGGTCCTTCAAGGATGAGAAATGCTGTTCTAATGCCTTCACTCATAGGAATGAGAGTACTCAAGAGTGCTCCTCTACCTTGCTGCCATTCTTGCACCCATTCCAAAACCTCCTAGCCACACCCAGAGTAATCTACACAAGTTTAAGCACCAGCTGATTTCTACCAGCATAATCCTACACAGCACATCAATAGGACAAAGAACCCGTTTATTCTTGATATTTCAACCAACCAAATCTTTGAATGCCCACTCATTCTCCATCCTTTCTCAGGGAAAAAAATCCAGCAATAAATTTTGCACACATCAGGATTGTAACGACTGAGAGTCAAATCCTGACGCTGCTGGAATTGATGGAAAAATTCCTGTGCCTTCAGCCACGTCAAGGTTCCCCTTCCGGAACTGGGCCATGGAGTCCCTTTGTGACTGTGTTATCCAGTTTCAATAAAACAAAGCTACACTTGAATGAACTATCCAAAACCAAAATGGCTCACTTCTACTATATCATTTTTAGCATTTTTTCTTTTTCTTAAGGGCTATGTTCTTGTTAATTATCTCCCTCAAGAAAAAAGTAACAAGGCATCTCACTTGGCAGATGGCCTTCCAAGACAAGGCAAATAGACTTGCTTCCCCCCACAAATGAGTTCTTCAAATTCAAGTGCAGAACAACTTGTCAATTATACAAAGATAGCTCAGGGACAAAAAAAAAAAAAAAACAGATAGTTTGGCTAATTTGGGTGGGATATAGATTATTTCATGATAACTGGCATTCTTGCTTATTAAAAATTCCCCACGAGCTAACTTACATTCTAAACTGAGCCTATTTGCAAGATATGCTTGTTTTTAAAATAGCTCTTGGGTGATAAGGTTTTCAGCTGTCGCTGCCTAATTCACAGAGATAGGTCTTTAATGACCTCATTCCCCCACCCTTTCTCCCCTTCTATCTGCTGGACTGGAACGTGAGTCCTTCCAGGATTAACACCCCATTACACAACAGCCAGTCTTGCAGCCATAAAGCACAGCACATGAAATCCAGCTGCTACCTGCCTCACCCTGGGCTGCACGGGGCAGCATTCGCCAAGGGGAATGCTAACAAGGGGGAGGTTTCTCCTGCCAGGCTGTTAACCTGCCCCTCTCCAGGCTCCCTGTGCCAGCCTGAGCAAACGACCAAGTGCGTGTCGTACAAAGGGACTGGGCTCCCAGGGCTGCTCTCCTTCCACCCAGCAGACACTGAGCTCTGGAGCTGAACTGAAGCCCCATCACCACCTGGTAAACTTGTAGGAACCCACTTTCGCAGGAACCCAAACCCACCCTTTTGAAACACAACAGAAGTTTCTTTTCCTTGTTGGAAAGTCCATAGTCAAGAACTCAAATGCAGTTTTTATACCATAGCCTAGTGGTTTGAGTACTGAGGATGGAGGACCACAGCTGAGCCTCTCCTGACCAGGACACAGTCTAACCTGGCTGAGACAGACAGCAGGTACCTGGCTCCAAGGTTTATTTTTGAAGCAGCTCCCAGTTTTTGACCCTCAGTTGAATACTGAAGCTCCCAAACTAAGAACCACACTCCCTCCTTCTTTCTTGAGTTCACATTACACACTAGCACAGCTTCCCCTGCTCTGCACCCGACAGATTTACCTCTGGTTCGGCTGACACTCGTAACGTACAGCTGTGTTGAGGAAACACCAAGCACGACTTGGCAGCTGCTCTTTCCAGGGCCCCCTGCACTGCTATGTGACACAGAACAAGCTGTGCACAGCGTAATGAGCGTTAAGAAGCACAGTCCTAAAAATATCGTACCACAGTTTGGAGACTCTCTACTGCTCTGCAGAGAGAAAGGGACCACGCCAAGGGAGGGACAGAAGAGAGAAGAAGGGGGGAAAAAACCCCAAACAGCTCTACAGGTCATCAATTCTTGCATTTTTGCTTTATTTCCCTGACCACATACAATTACTGTTTTGCTTTTTATCTTTCCAGCCTCTGAGCCAAGTCCCCCCACACTTCACCTCTCTGGGTGGCACAACAGTTCCACAGCTGACCCCAAGGTTTCTACAGCACAGTGGCAATCCCTCTTGATAGCAGCAGGAGTACAGGAGGTCCCACATCCCTCAGCTTTCAACCACCAAGATTTGAAGCCTTCCTCTGACCCTCTCTTTTTCCAGCCAGATTCCTATTTTGATTGGAAAAAGGATTTCAGCAGAACAGTGAAGACAAGCCAGTGCAGGTCCCCTTTCCAATCAGGCTCTACTCGCTGAGTCCCCTCCTCAGCCTGACAACAGAAGCATTTCATTTTTACTTACAGTTAATACTCAGAGGTGCTTCCCCTGTTGGAGCCAGCAAGAGTACGGCTAAATCACATTCAACACAGTGGCAAATACCAGCTCCTGGCATTACTAGCAGCCTTAAATTAAAGGGACATTCACTTGAAATCCAGTTCTTCACAGAAGCATTAAGATGAGCTTCAAGTATTATTTCCACTACCCAACAGTATTTCTTTACAGTCACACTTTCCTGTCTTAAACTTTCTCTTCCCCAGCTGCTACATAGAAGATCCACAACAAACAAGAGTAACGGTCCAGACAGGCGTGTGAGGAAAAATTACACCCTTGCTACCATTAAATTCGTGCAATAAGCATACAAAAACAAACAGAAGTCATCTCTTCTCAGCCCATTTTTGTTACTCTGTGTAATTAAGTGACACACAGGGTAAAAAGTCAGAGAGGGAAGTTACTGCAGCTGTTAAGCCAACTGCAGCCCGCAGCATAGAGCTAGCTTGGATGCGAACACATCCCTCCCACTCCCATCCCTGCAGGAGGGGCACAGGGAGGGCAGAGCTGGGTTTGCCTGAACAAAAACCAGCTCTTTCAGTCCCAAAGGCGGACACTGCCAAGCAGCTGCAGCGAACCCTCTGTTCGAGATGAAACTCCTCTTCAAGGAAGAGGTTTGGTGCGTTGTAACACACAGACTTTGTCACGCACCCCACTTTTCTGTTCTAATTGCAAAGGAATTTCCATGCACAAGACCAGGACTGAAAGGGCAAAGTGCACTTCTAGCCACACAGCTTTGAACATGAAGCTACTTCTTCCAGCTAATGGATCCTGAAATGAAACTGCTCAAGCTCAGGCACACCGCAGCCTTGGGACCACATTCCTGCTGTTCCAGGAGCCCCTGTCTGGGAAGACCATGGAGGGATGCAGCACATACTGTGCTCTGGGGTAGCATCCAGGTTGTAAGATTATTATCCATTTGCAGGTACCAAGCTTGCTTTTGTTTCATGCAAACAGTAGGCTTACCAATAATAAGAACCTACACCTGGTTCTTGGGTTTCTCTTTTGTAATTGTAGTTGTGTGCCTGTCCTGACAACACACAAAAACCTCCCAACTCTAAACTCTGTTCTTTCAATACTGACTTATCACCAAACCTCAAAGCCACTGTTTGGACTGTGACAGCAAAGCAGGGACTCAAATATTTAACTGTTTGCAAACATAGTTTAGTATTTTCCCAAACATCTTTCTCCAAACTCATAGCTTGCTTCAGAGAAATCAAACCAGTGAGTGCTTCCAAAAAAGCAGCCCTGCAGCAAAAAGCTTTAAATTACTCTGAACTGTTTTTCCTGTAAAACTAATTAAAGGCACTTCCAGGGCTCCAGCTGGAAAAGGTTATTGCCTTCTCTTCCTGTGCAGAATCATCACAGGTCCTTACAAAGCAGTGACTTTGCAAATCTGCATTAAGAGTATGGGGGAATTTAAAGCAGTTGAAAAGCATCCACCTCACATACGCTGCAGTTTCATGATCTCAGCTGTTCCACTGGTACTGATGCATCAGAAGCATCGCTGCCCACAACACAGAGCATCACTACCGGAGAAATTTAATCATTCAAATTCCTTAAACAGTTCAACACTCTAACTGCACTGGGAGACTTTATGCTGGATTGAGTATCCTCTCTTCTTCTGCATAAGCCAATCTAAAAGTATAAAGTCAGTGTTAAATCTGTATTGTGTGGATATGCAATTGCATTAGTAAGAGCATATTCAATTTGAATCAAATTTGCTGCACAAGATAATTTAATAGCACTCGGTCCAGTATTTAATGACCCTGGTCTCAGGGCTTCTCAGTTGTTTTAGACTGCAGTGCTCTTCCTGCTTGGATGAAATACCATGTTTTATCTTGTGCTCTGCAGATACCATGATTGTACAGCATTAGCCTTCTTTCATCCAGATTTTGGATTTTTCAACAAAGTAAGATTAATTTGACTATTTTATGGCTTCTGTAACTCAGTACTTCAATAGGCATATAAAGGTTTCTCTGTCTAGCTCAGCTCAATAATTCGCTACGGGAAGGAGACACAAGCATTTGTCTTCTCATAGAAAACAGGAAAGTGCCAACATGGTTCTGCTGTGCAGTTTTGCCGTACTTAGCATTAAAATTGAGAGAGGAAAACTCACATGTTTTCGCCTGAGAGTATCTGCCAATATCCTATCACTTCCGAGCAGAAATACAGGGGAGACTAAGTGGATGCCAGGAACAGGACTGGCCACAACCTGTTTGCTTTCATGGACAGCATCAAGGACTGGTAGAATCATCTGGCCACAAACCAAAGCTTTACTACAATAAAATTAATCACACCACTTGTACTGCAACATCATGGTGCTTAACCAGGCTTTTCTTTCAGGTCTCACTGAGACAGAGAGACTTTTTACAGAACTTTAGCTGGGAGCCAGAACACAGTTTTTGCTGCAAAGTCTGTGTCCAAACAAGACAGCTCAGGAGGGTGGATGTCAGGACCAAGTGGGCTGTTCCCACAACCCCCGGAGCCAAGCAGGAGCTCCGCCAGGAACCCTGCCATTGATTTTCACAGTTTGTTCTCTCTCCCACCTCTCTTCTAGTCGGTTCCTGGTGAGCCAAAAATCAAGCCCATTTCTACCCCTCGGGGTGGGAGTGCTGGAGTCAGGGCTCATGCCCTACAAATGCTCAGCAGCCCTTTGGGGTACGAGATGCTGGCTAACGGTGCTGCAGCCCCCCCATCCCACAGGAAGAAGCATTGCTGCTCCAGCGCTGGGGGGCATGGACTGATGGGGCTGGGGCTGGACAGGGCCAGCAAACAGTGGCTGAGAAAATGTGCGCTTACAGGTGATCATGGCCAAGGAGGAAGGGCTCCATCTGGCTCCGGCAGGAGGAGGCTAAATTTGTAGGGCTGGTGGTTAGGGGTGTGCGCGATCTTTTCAGCTTGAAAACTGAGCAAAATCGACACGCCATGTGTGCATGGGATTACTCAGTGGTACAATACTGGTTTCATGGCCAAAACCAGTCAAAGTCCTCGCAGAACACACTCAGAGAGGGTAAACTCTGGCTTTACTCCCTCTATCCCCTCCTTGCCTTTTCTGTGAGAATTCATCCCAGTGTAGTTGCCTGTGAAATAGCTTTTAACCATTTTCTCTCTCCCTCTGGGCAAAAAATTTCAAAAGGAATGGCGTCAGTAGCAGAGCAGACTTTTCCCTCCAAGTGACCAGTTTCCAGATGAAATCTTCAACGGCTAAAAAGCTTCAAGATCATTGCGAGCAGAGACAAAAACCCAGGGCTCCTTTTCTTCAATTCAACTGAATGCTGTGAGGATCTGGCTCGCAGGGGCTGAGCTCAGCCACAGTCCCAGCTCACCTTTCCCTGCCGTGCACCCCTGCAGCAGGAAGGGCCACGGCTGGGTGCCAAGGCCAGTCCCTGAAGGGAGCCCAGAGGCTTGGCTGCCCACACCAAACAGAGAATTACTTCTCAGCGAGTGCTCTCAGGCAGCAGCTACTGCCTTCAAACAAACTAGAAAAGTGGGGGTTTTTTACTACTGTGCTTTGTGTGGCTCTTGGTCCTGTCCACACCTAACAAGGAAACTGCTGGAAGGCCTCTTGCACCAAGACACACAACTTGTCTGGCAGCCACAACTGGAAATCCACAGTGCACTGAGCAGCTCTGGTGTACTGAACATGTACTAAGTTAATGGCACACAAAGTACATGAGCTATAGGCTGTGTGGCACTTAACAGTTTAGGCATTAAGCAGTAGCTTGAGTCAAGTTTTTCAGACTATATCTTATCCTTAAGGCCCCAGCTTTTTGTCTCAGTCCCCACTGCAGATGCTCAAGTCCCTTGCTAGATCTCAGCCAGCATTCAAAAATTCAAAACTCTCCACACATCTGGACTCAGAGGGTCCCCGACTCCTAGAGCAGCCAGGGTGACAGTACAAGGATGAATATATGGCACTACGGATCAACACGCACACGTTTGCCTGCAGCTGACATGCAAGATTATCATGATTTTCTGAACATTTGTGCACCAGCACTGTGAGCACCTGCTACCTTTTCAACAGGACTCAAAAGCAAGTACTCAGAGTGGTCATTTCTGTTTCAGGACAGCAACAGACACTTGCTGTTTTTTTGCTGCCACTTTGTTGCTCCAGTGAAAGGAGTCCTGTTTCGGGCTCTGTATATTGCAGGGGATCCAATCTCAGTACAGCTTGATCCTTTAGCTAACTAAACTAATACAACATCTTTCCTTTTAGCGAAGACACAAAGTGGCCATGCGACACATTTTTAAGGATATGGCAGAGAGGATTTTCCAAAGTGCATGATGTCTGCATACTTCAAAAAACTCAACCTTCAGTAGATTACCCTATAGCCTCAAGACCAGGCAGATTTGCAGCCATCTAGAGAGAGTTACAATTCCGATTTTGATTTTTTTAAAAAGTAATTTAATATGGTAGATGCCAATTGTTATAATTAACATTAATCCAAGTCAAGCAATCTATAACAAGCCCTAAAGAAAACACTAACAGCAACGTCAGTTGATTTGTTCAAGCCAAGCTTTTGTGCTGACACCACAGGAAACATCTTTCTTCAGAATTCCAGTATCTCTCCATTCTGCCTTTTCATAAACGCTGGTTTAAAAAAAAGACCATGATTGAAAATTAATGGGTAACTCCCTAGCAGGCCACTCCATTATTTTATGTATTCACTTATCTATTATTTTAAATACGGTATAAAAGTCTGTCCTACAACAACAACAAAAATACCCACTTGAATTTCACAGTGAAACAATTCACAGAGAGAAATTACAGTATTTTTGGAATATCAGAGACAGTATGAAGCACTGAGATCAAATCACACTTTATCAGTCTGGCCCCTTTATTCAGTATAACTCTTAATGACGCCTGTATAAAGAAGACTGGTATTAGACTGGTTATCCCAGAAGAAATGAGAACAACTGTGCTTTTGCAATAAATCACAATGAGTGCTTGGCTCAGAGCATACAGTCAAGATGTGACTTTCTGAAAGAAATGTACATTACTGCACTAAACAAAAGCATTTTCTCACTGTGCTGGCTGAAGTGCTAATTACTAGTAATACAGAGAGTTTTCCTCATGGTGATAAAGGTGCAAATCAAGTAAATACCAGTTTATACACTACCTCTGGCACTTACCTGCTGAGGTCTGTCCCTGCTCTGAGGCACATCAAATTCCAAACTGACTCCTGCAAACAAAGATCCCCTCGGCTTCTTAACCTGAAACTCTTTGGACTGTACCAAGATCACATCACCAGGGGGGTGTGTTTTGGGATGACCCTTCCAGTGGTGAGTCACAGGGACACCAGGAAACCTTCCGAGCTGACCCAAAATGCTGAGCCTCGTTTACTCCCAGTAAACTGTTAGCTGCAACTGTGGCTGT